ACTTCAATATGCATTTATTGATACCTGTCAATACTGAGTGAAATACAATAGCACCAGAGGCTATTAGATGAAGCGCAGTAGGAGAGATGTATCAATTTTGCACCGACTATGAATTGCGGTTGCTTTGGGCCTATTTATAGACCAATTGGTATTTACCTCAATGATAGCATCTTTGGGTGCAGTCAACCAAACCAACCATATCTTATAGAAAAACAACAATGAAAGTTGAGGTTTATTGGAGCATGATTAAGAGACATTACCTACATCAGTTTAATCAATCTAGATTAGACCTCCTAATATGGACACTCCTTACTGAAGTGGTTCCAGATTAGAAGGACTGATTATCTCAAACTTTGGCTAGCACGATTGAACCAGAGTGGTGAAAATTTTTAAAAAAGAATATGTATATACTGGTGCAAGTAATGAAAAATATGCAGAGATTTGTGCTAATAAACGTAATAATCATAAGTGCAAAGATGGATATGGTTTAGTTCAAATCAACAAAATTATGGTTTGAACTTAAACCAAGTTTACCTGTAAATTTTTTTTTTAAGCAACTTAGTTATAACTATATACAGTAATTAAATTACAATATTGGCATTAAACTAAACTAATATAAAAATATTATAGTTTAAACTATTGATTTTTTATATAGGTTTAAATTAGTTTAGTTGGTTTAATGCTTTAAACCATAATTATTTATAACAAACTTAACTAAACCATACTATCTTCAGGCAAAAGAAAGCGAGACATTGATATAGAAATGACAAACACGAATGGACTATATTTCACTAAGATTACCTGTTGGGTGTATAGCTGTCCTGCATTCGTTAAAAGTCAGTTTCTATTATGCAAACATTTGGTAAAGCAGATCATAAATATGCCTAAATGAAAGAGACAATGTTTAATTAGAAATGATTTTGAACGTTATACAGTGCCACTATTTCTTGTCGTAAATAGCTTTAAGAATAATAATGTTGTATTACCAGAGACACATGTTATCGCTCAAGTTGAAGATTATAATGTTGAAACTATTATAGATAACTTCTCCAACAATTACCATATTAATGTTAATGAAGATCCGTATGAAGAAGCTCGTTCTTATGTTGAGTCAAATTGAGAGCTATTTACAAAAGCATTTGAACAGATCTGTTTAGAGAAGTCTTCTAATAATTGGTTACAAGTTAGTGCTATGATGAAATGGAGTCGTATAGTACCAATAGAAGAAGATATTTGTTCTGCAAAATGATGAAAGCACTAACAATCAACTTGGGCCCCAGAAAATATTAGAAAGCCTTACCTTATATACTTGTCATATCCAGAAGAATCAGAGAATGCAAAGATTGAAGATAACAATATAGAGTAATAAAATATAGTTAGCAAAAAGAATAAGACGATCTACAATATAAAAAAGTACTAGAAGTTTATACACCTTATTTATTCTATTGAGAGAGGAATTTTTATATTAATGTTATCGCACTCTTTACTGCTTAACTTTTAAATGAATTGCGAAATTTTAATAGATCCATATTCATTTTATCTTAATCTCAAAATATAATAATTTAATATAATTTAATAAAGTCAATGACATAATATTAAACTTTATAACTTAATGGAAATAAATATTCTTTGACAATATAGTTATTTTTTCAAAGTCACTATATTCTATTGATGTTAATATTAGTAAATCAATATCGATTATTGTTCATACAATGCAGGATCATTGGTGAAACTCCATTTTTATACATCTAATAACTACATTAATCAATGCTTACATTTTTTATTTTAATAATAATCAAACCACAGGCTTGAATAATATTGCAGTTATTTTGGGTCTTTATATATAATATTTTTTAAAAATTAGGTCCTTATATGTAATTATTTTTAATTTGGAGCTATATTTGTAATTATTTTCACTTTCTGGACCCTTATTTGTAAATTCTCTTTTTTTTTTTCTCAACTAAGTCAATTTTATTGAATAATGCCAAATTGACTATATACGTATATACAAGCAGTTACATATAAATTAATAGTTATAGTGTATATAGATTCTGCTCCAAAACACTTCAAGGTTTTTGATTCCTTTTAATTTTTTGTTTTCAAAGAATTTTCATTATATTATTGTTATATTCCCAAAAAGTACTTTATAAACATAATATTAATTGATCTACATATAGAGTCGTATAGTTTTTTGCTATCCTTGTTTATTGTTTAAACATAGAATAGGTTAGCAACTATAATTTCGTGATAGATCAAACAATGATCTATACTGAAATATCTGACAAATTACATATTTTATATATTTTATGAAGCCATAAGCATTTTATTTTGCAAATATTATCCTCTTTAATAGTTTGGTCTCAATTTTTTTTCTATTCTGTAAGTTTTGTACTTCTATAAACTGTAATACGGTTGATGAGTAGTGACTAAATACTCACCAAATTTCTAATTAAAGATTGTCAAAACACTTGCTACATATATTCTTTTTTGATAAGATCTACTTGCACAAATTGAGAAAAAAGTTCTTGCCGTTTTTGAAAATACTCTAATTTTACATTTATCATTTGACTCTAATTCTAATTAGCAATTAATATTCTAATTTTATTACTAGTAGCGCCCACCCACCCACCTTACGGATTCGCTTCTAATAAATACTTTTTTTCAAACTTCACGTGATATCCTTATTAATTCAAGTATCTGATTTCAACTTCAAGTTCTAAACATGTATAATCCTTTCTTTTTAACCTGTCTTTTTAATTGACCCGCTTAAGGTTATCAAACACATAGCTTTATCTGTTTTCGACTTTTCATATTCTAAATTCTTATAGATCGAAAAAATTGATCCAAAGATTTAAATGTTTCAACCACTTAAGGTTAACAAACACTCAGCTTCATTCCTTTTTCAAGTACATTTCGAATTTAGGATTTCATAAAATCAAAGATCGAAATATTTTTACTAATTCTTAAACCAGTTTTACAAATTCACTATCCCTATAGATTACCGTTATTTATTATATAATTTATACATGAAAATTCGAATTACTAAATTAAACGTTAAAGAACAATACGAATTTATTCAATTTTAATTTAAAGTTTTTTTTTTTTTAAATACTTAAATCTTTGAATATATCTAATTCAGAAAACCAAATTAAAATAAATCTGTACCACCTATCGATCGTAATCATATCGAACCCTGTTAAACCCTTACAATATGCTAGTATTATTACCTTGTATTTATTACGATTATAAACAAATTAAAAAGTATATATAATCAAATAAAAAATTTTACTCTATTTTATTTATTTATACTGTATTATGTTTTATATTATAATTACTATTAATTAATAAATATCATTTCTCTCACACTAACAGCTACCAAAATATCATTACAGCGAATTTATGAAATACCCCAAAATTTAAAAATTTAGACCACTAAGTAATCAATAATGATTTTTGGCCGAAATTACTATTATCCCGGGAGAATGTAAATCATTATAACGAATTTCTATGTCTAAATAAAATACATCAAAACTGAGGAAGATGGATTAGACGTAGAAAAGATGGGTTAGACACGTTATCAATCAAAATCAGAAGCCAAAAACCTTTTTCAAGGTTTATCGTTGATCTATTTATATGTCATCTGATAACTAAAATTTAAAATTGAGGACCAAAGACTCACTTTAATGATCAAATTTTATCTTAATTCGTAAATTCACCGTGATGTTCCTCAAAATTTGATAATTACATAAACCTTCTCTAATTATACACCTATAAATACATTCTCTCTAAATACATGCTCTATCCTGGTACTCTACAACTATACCTTTAAGTATACGTTCCATAATACACATACTACGCAACTTCTCTCTAAATACACAACATAACTTAACCCCATCTTATAAAAACACTATATATTTTAGTCTTTATAAATGTACGCTCTCTTAAAGCACATTCTTTTTTCCATAAACACAAAAGATATACACTCAAGAAATTTTATCGTATCAATCTTAATTATTACAAAAAAAAAAAAACAAATAAAATAAAATAAAATTATAAAACCTGTAAAGCTCAAAATATAGACAATTCCTTATGAAATCTTGTTAAAACCCGTAAAATCAATAATCAATACTCTTAAAAAAATCATAAAATAGATGATAACAACGAAAATAAAAACAGCATAATCCTAATTACCTATCGCGTATTCATATATTATCTCAATCAATTACAATCAGCATAATGGAAGTTCGTTTTTATTGGTCGCTGCCTCTGATCATCAGATTGAATATGATTGGTTAACATATCATGTAATACAATGTCGTTCTACAAAAATAATATGAAAATCGGTAAAGTTGGTAATATGATAACGCCTTAAGTTATTCGTATAACCAAAGTTGATTTTTTGTTAGTACGTTTTTTATATCTAACCAAACCTTTTAAAACTCCTAGATCAAGTTAGATCAAGTATTTTAAGGTAGTTCGCTTATATGTGAAAAGTAGCGAAAGTACGAACGAAATTCACCTTAGTTTAAGTTTGCAACAGTAGAATTCTTTCAATTATTAGCATATTAGTGAGAATTTTTTTTTTAGTAACATGTTTTTCAAGTTCTAATATATTTTATGAAACATTTAGATCAAGTTAGATCAAGTATTTTAAGGTGAGTCACTTATAAGCCAAAAGTATCGAACAGTAGTTGTTCTTATTATCAAAAAAACTTTTTGGTAATATACTTTTCAAGCTATAACGATTTTACTAAAATTTTTGAATTAAGTGTTTAAGGCTGTTGATTACAAGCATCACGTTAGTCATTTTTAATTTAATAAATATAATACTGAAATCGGGTGTTACGGCGAGTCAGTCGCTCCACAATTCTATTTCTCGTGTAACCTACGGTTGGCTTAGTCGAAAAGAGGCGTTTAGATTTGGTCGGTGGTTTGGGTCTGTAGGTAAGTATTTCTTCTTTACTGGTCTTGCTTTTCTTTGCCTGAGCTGTCTACTAACTTTAACCCTCAATTACCTCACTACGTCGGGCAATTGGACAACACGTACAACCTCAACTATCCTCAATCCTTCGGGATAATTGGACGGTATAACCACGGCTGATCCTGGTACTTTAGGATACAACAGCCGGATGGGGTTTTTACAATATTACGGGATAGAACAGATAACTATAAGAAGCGGGTTTTTATGGTCTGGGGACTTAGCGATTAGTTAATGTATTAAAGGAGACGTTTATGTATTTATTATTATGTAAGGAGCCAGTTATTATTTTAATAAAGCAAAGTACTGAGGGTCTTCCCCCTTTTCTATGGCCTTTACGCCTTTATTTATCTTAAAATTCTTTATTTACATTTGTCATTCTACATCTGCTACAACTACTAAGTTACTACGTCTACTACTTCGTTCCCAACTTATACTTATCCGACATGGCCTTCGTGCCCTATGTAGCCGTAGTAGCCTACGTAGCCGAAATAGCCTAAGTGGGCCAGAGTCACACTATATAATAGAATTGGCCTATCTATTTGCTTATGTTAATAATTAGTTATCTATTTTAATGTTTTGGCTAATTACTGTATTGCATGGGTCTTTCCTCAGTTCTAGTTTTGTATATTATATGAATACGCTCTTTACCGTTATGAAGCAAAATGCGAAGTAATTATGCACATGATAAATTATTTGACATTTTATTGGTTAATAAAATATGTCAATTATGTGATTTGCGCGGAATGATCTTCAATTTGTGTAACATACATGACAAACATTCGGCCAATAAAAACAAACTTCCATTATGCTGACCGGAGTGAAGCACCTCAAATATTGGAATTGCTTGTTGCACTAGCTGCTCTAACATATGCTTTGATTTCCAGTAACCATCTGCCTGTATGGAATGAAGAATGAATACTTCTTGGTATTTAATATGTGGATTCGCCTTCATCTGCTCATCAGATAGTTTTAATAGCCCATGACAAGAACAAAGAAAGGCTGAAACTATTATGGAACGACCCTCCCCCTTTGGACGTAAAAGATCTTTATTTTTTCCAATCCATATTCTCCGTTGACTATCATTCGCATAAAAATGGCATTCGTCATGTGTTATCTATAATACATATTTATTACATATAATTAGCAACGGTAGTAATTATATATATAAGATAAAGGGGAATAGTGGGGGATATTATGGCGTGAAAATTATGAATAATTATAATTATTACATAATTTTTATGTAGTAATTATTTACTATATTTTGTAATAATTAATTACTACATACGGGGTAACAAATATAATTACTACGTTATAAATTAATACGTATATTATTACCTGTACTAATTCTTTTTCATCGAGTCCAAGCTCAGGTTCTATCACGATTTCTAATCTATCACCATTGAAACTTTTCATGTATTTCTTATAGGTAAACATTCTATTAAGCCATTCTCTTCTATACATCACCATATCTGATCTTTCATACCCGTCATAATAAACCACCTTTCTTTTTTCATCATACCTAAACCCCCATAAATGCATATAGGTTCGACATGTTCTTTTGGAGATGGTATTTTTTTAATTTGGTCTGCCCTTTAGGGAAATACCGTCCTTTCAATATATGCCTTTAAGGCACAGAGAGAACGTGACTCAGGTTTTTGATTATTTAACCAAGCTTGACAATCATTAGAAAAATCTTTATTTTTAATTAGACTTTTCAACTTGGTGTGTTTCCCTTGACGATCAACAAGGAGTTCGCCCATTTCTACACGAATAAATACAAAAAAGTAAGGGAACTTTACATTAAATTTAATATTTAATTAATTTTTTTAATATTGATTTTAATAACAAAAAAAACCCCAAATCTCTATTATAAGAATGATATAAGAACGCCTTATTACGTATAGAACAACGTTTTTGTAATCAGACACAAACAAGCGTTATTCGAAAAATTTGATGATTTTTAAAGAATTCTTCAAGTAATATAATCTAGAAGTTCATTTTATTATACGCTTACCTATATAATGATTTTCCCACTTTCTAATGCGTTTTGCCATACTGTCTTTTTTACCCCAAATAGTTCATGCAAGATGAATGCTTGCATTCATCTTGCCTTGCCCATCCAGCAACAATTTTATGTATCTATTTATACTTAGAAGACGCAAATGATCATATATAGGTACGTTAGTTTTTGAAGATTTTATTATTGTGCATTTTTGACTAACTTCATTTAAACGCATTTCTAATTTTTCTTTATTAATAGATGGTGAATTATATGTAGCTGTCTGAGAAGGCGTTTGTTCTATAATTTCAGTAGGTGGTATTGATGAAGATGATCGTGATACTAATGATAAAGCGTTGGCTAACAGTGTTTCTGAAGGCGGTTGTGATAATTGTAGTCGTTTCATAGTATCAACAGCTAGAAACAAGTGCGACAAATCAGGTGATGCTTTCACATTTAATGATGTATCAGTTTTTTGTTTTTTCCTCCAAGCTGTTGTTCTTGACGTTCCTGTATATGAAGATCTCTTATGTTTTAATTCAGCAATCTCTTTCTGCATTATAGAGATCTTTCGTATAACTTCATCTTTTACTACTTCCACTTGTATTTCTTTGTTCATCATTTCTACTTCTTGCATAATTCCTTGTGATATATAACGATCTTGTTTTCTGGTTAATGCGCTTATTTGCTGTTTTCTTTTATTAGAACGTGGCATTTTATGATAACAGTTAATGAACTAATTTTTAATAGTAATTAATACTAACTTTTAACAATTTTTCACATTTTTTATTCAGGCGTTTGAGTCTCATTTTATACTCTTGGCTAGAAGTCAAATTTAAGTAGCTTGTGAAGGAAACAATTATAACAAAAGACAAAAACAAAGAAAGAACCTTAAAAACTTATTAATTTAATATGTAGCTATCCCGCTCGTAATCTATTTGTTCAGAGGTAATTTAGAATAATGTCAACTTGAATATTTTGTGCATGGCGGATCTTAGGCAAAAATTACATACAATCGCAAAATGATTTAAATCATGATCTAAATCAGATTTGAGTGTGTTTAATTTTTACCTTAATGCACAAAATACTTTCAGTACATGCTTATAAAAACAATTAAAAATTTGATATAAGAAAAAAAGATCAATGGTTAACTGCGACATAACATTAGGATCTGTGACAATTAAAGGATGTGTAGACAATGATATATTAGCTATAATGGGATTAGATTAAGGCTTTAGAAACGCAACAAAGGTAGTGATAACATTTGTATTTCGCGTTTGGGCTTTGTTTACAGATCTCAGTTCAATATGGCCAACCTGATTATGTAAAATTTCTTTTGTTTATTAATTTGATTTATATGTGATATCAAAATAAATACATATAATTATCACATACAGTACATTAAATTATAACATAATTATGTTGGCAAAGCATCTGTTTAATTTATATGGTTGATTTATTTAATTTTTTACAGCGATTTTTTATAAAATTTGATTTATCTTCACAGTACAGAGTTTCGAGGATTATTTTTTAAAAATTAAAAATCTCTGATTATATTAAGGTAAATCAAGAATTATGTAAAGTTTGATGCGACAAAACTACAAATAGCGACCTCTTGTGATCGAAAATTATTGAATACTCATAATGATAAAAGCTAAGCTAACCTGTTTATCACTTGTTTAATAAAATTTAAAATTTGCCAATAAATAAATTCAGCAAAAACCAATTCTTTATTCTCTCAATATAGTAGCTTTCAATATAATGAAAGCCTGATACAGTGTGAAAAATTTAAGACCAATCTACGTGCATTTGAACCCTCCCAATAGACTCTTGGTACGATTAATTTTAAAAATTATGCTGTTATAGTACAAATCTTTTCGTTATAACATACTTCAAGACATTCATCAGATTTATATCTATGTTAACAGCATATTATAAATGACAAGTCTTTCGCAAAGACCTCTATGAAGTAAAGCAATGATACAGTCATAAGAATAAATAAAATGCCCTAATTAATAAAGCCTATATTTAATCTAACACTTTTTGAGCAAATAGTAGAAGTGCTATCGCAATATTAATGAGAAATATGATTGCTTAGTTGACATTAAAATTCTCGACTGTTCGAACTAATATCTATCGGCCAATCAAATGTTAAGAAATACTCACATGAATTGTTTCAATATCGTAAAACTTAGAAACTTCAAATCGCTAAAACTATTTATATAAGCAATATTTCAAAAATCTGGCCAGTAACTTTATAAATTCTACAAAGTTACTGGTCAGTTTGTTGAAATATTGCTTGTGTAAAATGTTTTAGCAATTTGAAAATGTCCGATTTTTTGATCATGTGATTGGCGATTATAGATTTCTATAACCATATTTGTTGGTTTTAAGAATGAAATTGAGCTTTCTTAGTAAAAAGTTCAAATTCAGAATCATAAGATTTTTGGTAATAAAAACCTTATCTGTATTAAAAAAATTATTAAGTATAGTTAATAGATAAGTAAATAACTAATTGAAATTATATTAGTGATATTATAGTATATAGTATAAATAAAAGATCTTTGATTTTGGTTCAACATAATATTAGCGCTAGTACTAAAGCTTTATTACAAATTCATTTAATGTTTTTACGATATTTTTTTCCTTTCTATACTAATCAACATTACAAAGCCATTTGGATATTTTTTTTCTGTATTTGTAGCATAGGAAAGATTTAAAAATTGTAGGCTTCAGAACCATTGATCATTAAAGTTCTATTCGACACAACAAGAATTACTTTAAAATTACTGCCCGAAGACAAATCATATTTATAATAAATAAGTAATTACATCATCTATCAACTAAACTTTATATACTAAATGATTAATATACTTCATTATACTTTTAATTAATTGCACCTGAGTACACATGGGTTGTTATATCAGACCCATACTATAATATAGTTACAGTATTATATGGAATTCTGGGTATAACTAATTACATATGGGTTTATATTCAAGTCACGTGGCTGAAGGCTAGTGTTCTGAGTTGGTAAATATTTTACCAATCGATTAGTTGCCAACTATAGTTGCAACTAATTGATTGTTCACATCACGTGGCATTATCAGATGATTAGTCAATCAAACTAAAGAAATTAATTCGGATCTGCCCGACTAGACAGAATTTCTCAGAATTGTATTAGTTGAATCATTAATCAATTAGTTGTTTAAAATTTTTTTAAATCGACTAATTGGAAAGTTGGCAACTAGTTGATTTTTCAACTAACAATTTGGAACACTACCAAAAGCCATGTGGTTTGGACATAACCTATGTATAATTAGTTATACCCAGATTTCTATACAATAACTATAACTTATTTTGTAACTGTTATCTCAACAGCTACAATTAACATTTTTTAATATACAATCCTAACGATTTATAACTGCCGTCCCAGCCGGTCACAAAAATTATGTGTTATTCTAATGCAGGTAGGGTGGGAGGGATCGATATAACCAGAACGAAAGTTGGGTTGGCAGAAAAGACAAAGATAATTCCCATTATTTTCCCACTTGCTAAATATACTATGATCCAATTACTCCAGTCAACCGATCGATCGAACATGTGATCGAAATGGGTCTGTCACATGTTCGATCAGATGGCACATGATTCGAGACAAAAGCTGCCTTGATACGTACATATCGAACAGCTATTTGTCTGGAGTACTCTATTAACAACCCTAGTGAGCCTCCTCTATAAGTTATTGACAATTATGCTATTCATGCACTATGAATTCCCAGGGTACTATTGAACATGTCGAATAAAGAGTATTACATATTAGCAAAGAAAATAATAATGAAGGCTTATATAAAGGAAAATTTTTAACAAAATTTTCATAACAATAGATAGTACATATAGCCTCCAAAGTTTGTAACGTTTTTGTTTAAATCCAGATTAACGAGATTGAACATTTAGATAAATTAGTAAGAGAAAAAGGTTGTTTATTTACAATACAATTATAATGTGTTAAATTTTGTTATGTTTTCTGTATATTAGTAACAGATTGTTAAAGGTTACATATTCAATTGTTTTGACCTGAGTTGTAAATTTTTAACCTAGTTGAACTGTTTTGACATGGTTTACTATAACCCAGTTCTAAACTCTACTTTCTTTATCATATTAAACATTCAAGTTTAACTAACTATTAATTTCTTCCATTTCTGATTTCACATGATGACATCACGCAGCTATCTAGTTGCATAACCCTAGAGATTTTTTATATCTCGAATTTGTCATCTTGACTCAATGTCGATGTGACAAATTCAAATTTGTCATATGATATCTTCGAATTTATCATCTTGACTCAATGTCGATGTGACAAATTCAAATTTGTCACGTGATATCTTTGAATTTGTCACATCAACGTTGAGTCGAGATAACAAATTCGAAGATATCACATGACAAATTCGAAGTTGTCACATTAACGTTGAGTCGAGATAACAATTTTAAAGTAACCCTTTTCTCGTGATTGGTAGATTATATAAAATTAAATATGCTTTATAATTGGTTATATGTGCAAACAAGTGATGATTAGCTAATAAAATTATATATGGAAAATTAATTTTATCACTATAATAAAAAAGCTAAAAGGATTAAATATATTTTTTTAAACATATGCTTTTCTAAAAGCCTATTTTTATTTATAAGATAGCTACGCAGCATGCAGTGCTATATTGGACCAGTATAATCACATATGCAGAAAATAATAAAACTCTTTCCAAATAGGTGGTTGGCTAAAGTTTAGGTTTATCTTTTTGATGCAGTTATAGTTAGTGGATTATAGATATCAAGAATGTAATTTATACAGCATGTAGATTATATATTGAATTAACTCTGCTTTAGCTGACCATCCCAAATAGCCTAGATCTCTATACCTGCCAATTATATTAAAATTACTAAAATTAAAATTAATGAAGCCCCAAAAAATTATTAATTGTCTAACATATTTTATTGTATAACAGAAAACTACTATCTTTCTTTTGTTATTCTCTATTGCGCACCTAATATAAGATTAAAAATATATAGAAACCTGTTTACTATTATTTATAAGCTTTATATCATAAATGTTAAGTATCACTCTAAGAATATTTAACCTAAATTAACCCTTTATATCTATAACAAATTGCATATTTGTGTTTAATAAATAAATACATCGCAACTTAATATTAAATTTAGCTATTATATCTTTATATATAAAATCTAGCCAAGAAATTATAGCAATAGAATAAAATATACATGATTAAGAAATCATGTGTATACATAAACTCATCTTTACACAGAGCTTAATTATCAAATAACTTGCACCACTTATCGTAATAGGGTTTAATTACCAAATAAAAGATTCTTGTATTGCTATTGCAAATATGAGAATTAAATACTGAACAAGAGATTCTTGCATTGCTATTACAGCTGTGGTGTTTAATCACCAAACAAAAACCCTTGTACAACTATTGCTATGAAGCCTACTTATAAAATAAATAGTCTCTATATTGCAATTACCAAAAAGTCTAATTACAAATATAAAATCCTTATATTACTCTTATAGCCTCAGAGTCTAATCACTAAATGAATAATTCTTATACTATTATCATTATAGAG